AGGCCATGCAAAATTGGACCTTCTGTAACATCAGATCAAACCATTGTACTTAGAACTCCAGCTGTGCCCCAGGGACCATGCAAAGAGTTCATGTAGACCAGCCGCAGGGATTCCAGTTCCAGATCTATGAGGGGATCTGCGAATTGTTGGGAAAAGATTTTTCTCCCTATTATTCCAGACTCTTCAGCCACAGGAAATATTTTGCTTATAGCTACTCTTGTTCCATCCTGTAATGACATTAAATACCTCAATCAATGAACCCTTAAATGTCTTTGTTATTGCTGAAAAAGTTTTGAAATGGTCTTGTTAAAATTTTATTTCAGAAATGGATGTTTAAACTCAGCTGGAATACAAATGCAGTTGCATTTGAATTCCCATCAGCATTAAGATAGTTTATTGGAATGTCTATACTTCTTCCAACCACATAGCAAATTATTAAAGACATAATATATACATCTTGCCCACAGTGTGAAGTTCAAAACTGTGCATTACAACTGTGATATAATCAAGGTTTCATATTGTTGATACCTTGCATGTTCTATTTTTTATTCATTTGTAGGACATAGGCATCACTGGCTGGCCAATACTTATTGCCCATCTCAAGTTGCCCTTGAGAAGGTGGTGGTTAGCTGCCTTTTTGAACCGCTGCTGTCCACATGCTGTAAGTTGACACAAAATGCCCCTGGGGAGGAAATTCCAGGATTTTGACCCAGCAACAGTGAAGGAATGGCAATATATTTCCAAGTCAGGATGGTGAGTGGCTTGGAGGGGGACTTGCAATGGTGTTCCCACGCATCTGATGCCCCTGTTCTTCTAGATGGGAGTGGTCATGGGTTGGAAAGGTACTTCTAAGGATCTATGGTGAATTTCTGCAGTGTATCTTGTAGATAGTACACACTGTAGCTATTAATCATCAGGAGTTGAGAGAATGCATGTTCGTGGATGTGGTGCTAATCAAGTGGGCTGCTTTGTCCTGGAATTTGTCAAGCTTCTTGAGTGTTGTTGGAAACTGAACCCATCCAGACAAGTTGGAATTATTCCATCACACTTCTGACTTGTGCCTTGGAGATGATGGACAGGCTTTGGGGAGTCAGGAAGTGGGTTGCTTGCTGCAATATTCCTAGCTTCTGACATGCTCTTGTAGCCACCGTGTTAATGTGGCATGTCCAGTTTTTGGTCAATGGTAACCTCAAGGGTGTTGATATTGGGGGATTTGGTTACAGTAACACCATTGAATATCAAGGGGTGGTGGTTAGATTGTGTCCTATTGAAGATGGTCATTACGTGGCATTGCGTGGCACGAATGTTACTTGCCACTTGTCAGCATCAATTACTGCCAATGAAATTCATCCACAATGTCCTGTCTACAACGCCTTATTGTCTTCCAACTTCTGTGGTCCTCTGGATCAATTACATGGCTCTAAATTTCATATTGTCTGAAATTTTGGACAACATTAAACGTATATATCCAATTCAAATAACATTGAGATACGTTTTTACTTCTACTCTATGTACCTCCTTTCTAACCGTATTAATACTATATTCTACCCTCACCCTAATTCTTAACTGTAATTGTCAAGGCACCTTGTCAAAAGTTTTCTGAAAGTCTATGTACATTGCCTCACTGAATCCATAATGTAAAGTTTGAGTACATTTTGTATAGATTAATATTACACAGTTCTGGCTACACATCCCAAAGTTAGTTTGCTCAGATTTCTGATGGAGTGCTCCCAAATTCCAACTAGCACCATCTTGATTATCAGAAATATCAGTACATGTATCTGAACACTGTTGATGACATCTTCCATCATGTTCTCATAAAATTGAACAGAAACAATTGCATGCTTTTAATCTCAGGACTGATTTAACCAGCTTCAAATATCTTCCTTTAAAACCAATGTGCAGAACTAATCTTTGCACTTAGAAAAGGATAGTAGGATTAGAATGATTCAACTGGATGTATGAGTACCATTTGGCAAATTTAGTAGAGTGCTTTGAGAATGTAAGTAATATAGATAAAGGAAAACCAACAGAGGTGGTGTATTTTAATTTCCAAACCACGTTTGGTAAGGTGCTATTCTAAACGTTAGTACACCATATGGACCCGTGGGTAATGTATTAATGTAGATAGGGAATTGGTTCACTGGCCGTAAGCAGAGATTAGGTTAAATAGGGCACTTTAGAGTTGGGTAGGCTCTGCCTAGAGGAGAGCCACAAGGATCAGTGTCAGGCCTTAGCTATTTATAATCACTAACAGACAAAGAGATCAAGAGGCATGTATTTATATTTGCTGATGAATTAAACCCAGGTTGGAATGCAACTTTGATGATGGCACAAAGAGGCTCCAGAGAGCAATAGACAGGTTAAGAGAGTGGGCAAAAAGGTGATAGATACAGTAAAATGTAGGAACTTTGTGTTCATTCACTTTAATCATAAGGATAGAAAAGCAGATTTTTTTTAAAAGGAGTGAAATTTATAAAGGTCGATGTTTAATCTTTGATGTACTTGTACAAGGAACAAAAGCTTAGTTTAAAAGTACTGGAGGCAGCACAGGAAACATTCACTAGCTTTGATCTAGAATGAACAGGTTGTCCTATAGTGACTTGCCACACATGGATCTTAGAGGTCTGTACAGAAGAAAAAATAATTGGAGGGAATGTAAGTGCTGAGAGGTTCTTTTCACCTGATTGAGGAATCTAAAACAATGGAGCAAGTTTCATTTAACAATCCTGGAACATTGAATACTTTACCCTTTTACATGAAAAAATTTCTCCTTGTCGCAGTCTAAATGATTTTATTTTGTTATTTATTCATGAGATAAAGGTGTTGTTGGCTGTGATGAATATAAAATAAATGAATATTTTTTAAAATGTCTTTCTAATTGCTTGTTGTACCTGTAGACTAACTTCATGTGATTCTTGTACCTCGACACCAGCTCTCTCAGTAACATTATCTCCTGCAATCTCTCTCCACTGCTTCTCTAGACTCCCTGCCAAAATGGAAAAGTTCACATATACCTGCATTATGCTCCATGTGCCAATTTTTTGCACACTGATGTAACCTGTCTATATCCCTTTGCAGACTCTCTCACCGTCCCTCTTGATAACTTACTTTCTTATCTAACTTATCGATCATGCCGCTGGCAAATTTAGCTATCACTAGTTACATCTCGCCAACTTTTAAAAGATCTATTTGTCCCTACAGTGTGGAAAGAGGCCATTCAGCCCATTAAGTCCACACCAATCCTCTGAAGAGCGTCCCACTCAGACCACCACCCTACACCTGTGACCCCACATTTACCATGGCTAACCCACTTAGCCTGCACACTATAGCACAGCCAATCCAACCTAACGTACAAATCTTTGGAGAGAGGGAAGAAACCTGAGCACCCAGAGTTAAATCCACGCAGACGTCGGAAGAATGTGCAAACTCCACACAGACAGTCACCTGAGGCTGGAATTGAATGCGGGACCCTGGCACTGTGAGGCAGCAGTGCCAACCACTGAGCAAACATGCCACCCTTCTTCTTTGCTTTCAGGTGGTTAACCAATCCTTTATCCATGCTTTATGAATACTCCCTACACCATACATTCATTTCTTGTACATCAAACATTAAAATGGTACTTTATCCAATGCTTTTTGCAAATCCAACTACACCACATCTATGGTTCCACCATGAATGTCATTTGGTTAAGAAACTCTAATAGATTAAACACAATTTCCGTTTCACAAAGCCATGTTGGCTCTGTCTGATTACATCATGATTTTCAAAGGTAACATGCTATAAACTTCTGAAAAATAGATTCCAGCACCTTTCCAAACAAATGTTAGGCTAACTAGTCTATAGTTTCCTGCTTTCTGCATTACTCCTGTCCTGAATAAAGGTGCTACATTTGCTATTTCCTGATCTGCTGACAACCTTCCAAATTTTAAGAGATTTTGCAAGATTATAAATGATGAATCTACTATCTGGGCTGGCACTTCTATAAGACCCTAGGTTGTAGACCAACTGGTCCTGGGGATTTGTCAGCCTTTAGGTCTGACAGTTTTTCCAGCAACTTTTTCCTGGTGGTGGGGTTTGTCCATTATCCCTTGATTTTCAGTTACCAGTGGGAAGTTTTCTAAAGCTTCTACCATGAAGACAGACACAAAATTTACTAATTTAATGAGCCGATGCAGAAACAATGGGTTGAATGGTTTCTTTCTCCATCGTAACACGTTCTGTGATTCTGTGAGAATACCTGTTCAATGCCTCTACCATTTCATCATTTTCCATTTTCCATCATAATGCAAAACAAATATGACTTGAAGAAGAAGGAAATCATATCAGACTTGAAATGTTAACTCTGTTTGTCTCTCCACAGATGCTGGTAGACGTGTTGAGTTCCTCCAGCACTTTCTGTTTTTATTGCAAACTGTACTCCTTCATAGTTATATTCTAATGTCAGAACTATCATATGCTGATCCAAACAGCTTTAAAATGCCTTCCTTCAAAATATTCTGATCTTTGCACTTGTCAGTTCTATGATTTTGTTTTCCTTTTCTTCTTTCAAACTGATTACATTTCTATGCACCAGCCTATATGAAGTACAAGATGCTGAAAACTTGGTATTGCCATTTGGATTCGAAGCGCTCACTGTGATGTCAAACACAGTTTTTTTCCCTTTCTATCCAAGTGACTGATAAATGGCTGATTACATTCAGACACAAAAACACACAGATCAGTGCGTGTTTTCTAATATTAAACAGTCACCTCAGCCTTGACAAAGGAATCAAGAAGACTGGTTTGGATGCCAAGGTATTCAATAAACTACATTAGCAGTCTGATGCTAGAGACTCCATCCAAGACTACACTTTAGCAAATGGGAATAAAAAACTAATATTCTATAACAAATATTTTACCTGTCTCATATCACAGTTTTCCCATAGAATCATCAGTTGATGTGGAATCACCATTGGCACAAACACAATATTTTAGCCAGTACAAGTCAGTCTCTTACCTGCAGTGACTGTGTCAGGAGTTCTCCACAGAGGCAGCACAATGGTGCCTGTCTCTCCGTTGCAGGTGAGCTGAAGCAGTAACACCCTCTGCCTTCCTTCCTCGCTTTTGTTGTTTCCAAAAGTCATCGGGCAGGTTTATCAGAGAATGGGGTGGGTGTGTTTTAAAAATCCTCTCCGGGAGGAGTTTGAATCCACACACAAACACGCAGTTCAGCCACATACGTAGATTCTGAAAACACTGTTTTGAATTTGGACTATTCCTTTCCTCCCAGCTAACTGCTTCTTTTAAAGTTTTATTTTGTTTCTGGAAAACTTAGAAAAAGCTCTGGTGTCTCACTACCTGAGAATGTACTTCACATAACTAGTTTAAGTGGAATTTCTAGCAAAAGCATGTATTTATTGAAAAAAAATTTACCACTCCATTGATAGTTTATGGGTTACCTGGAAAGACCACTGAGGTCTTCCTGCTGAAGTTAAATGCAGGTCCGTTCAGTTATCAGACCCTCCTAGTACTTCAAATGCATGTAAATATAGTCTTGTGTGTGTAAGAAATGCCTTTTTTTTGGATAGAGTGAAACTCCAATGTTTGTTTGTTTCCTTAATAAAAACTGAAAGAGCTGCGGATTCTGTAAATCAGGAACAAAAACAGAAGTTCCTGGAAAAGATCAGCAGGTCTGGCAGCATCTGTGAAGAAAAAAATCAGAGTTAATGTTTCAGGTCTGGTAACCCTTCCTCAGAACTTTGATTTACTTCTGATTTTTTCTTCACAGATGCTGCCAGACCTGCTGAGTTTTTCCAGCAACTTCCGTTTTTGTTTGTTTCCTTGATATGCTACTGTACAGAACCAAACTGCATTTGTGATTATGTATATGTACAAGGATTTTTTTTAACATATAAAGTATATTTTTGTAATTAAAAAATTCACAGGTCACCTCAGAGTTGCCTCAGAAGTCTCAGAATCGAGAGGGTCCTACAATCAGTCAACATGGTACTACTGGTCAGGAACTCATTTTTGGAAGTCTGCGCAAAGGCATCAAGTTTCAAAGGGTTCTGATGTCTTCCACAATCTAATAAATGGTCAGGGCTACAAGCAAGCAACGGCTATCTCGGTTAGAAGCAGCAGAGGGTTGGTGGACCTATATCAAGCAAGGGACATCATGTCTCCAGGATCAAAAGGAGAGGAGTGAGCTGACGAGAAAGAAAGATTTCCTCATAACAATTCTTCTTTTACACTTCTGAAAATTCTGAGGGTAAAAGTTTTTAGTGAGACCTTATTCAGCCCACAGGAAGGCCTGGATTTAATCCCCGAAGTTGATTTCAGGAAATGCAGACACTGCTATTTCAGGTCAAAGGAAGTGAAGATTGGTTGTCTCTCATGAATGTTACCAGTAAACCTGGAATGTGCACAAGTTTGATCTGGGCAGCAAAGCCTGCTTGGCCTGATCTTTTTATATATTTGTTCTTGATGCAAACAGAAGTGTTGTAGAGCCACCAGTGTCCACTTGACCATGTAACAGGATCATTAATTGAACATCAGGTAAGAACAAAAGGTAACATCCAGAAATACAATACACAGTTGGTATCACACATAGGGCATAGAGTCATAGAAACACAGAAGAAAGCCATTTAGTTAATCAAGCACAGCACATTGTGGTGAAATCCAGTCTAACCTCATAGCCCTGCAAGTGTGACTTAGATTATTTACTGAAAACCTGGACTGTAAACCTGAAACCTTTGACTCAGAAGCAAGAATGCTACAAACTAAACAAAGCTAACAATTAGAGGAATGGAAAAAATGACAAGCATTGAAAGTGGGATATTCAACGATCTGCAGGAGGACATGCACTTTCCACCAGGCAGCAAATAAAGCAAATTGCCCATTACAAAGGGCAGGGTGGCAGAGCAGCAGAGCAGGTAACCCTCAGGACACGGTTGCAAAACAAGAGAAAGTTCAATGACTACACAAGGCTATCTAAGGTAAGTCTCCTAATTCATATCTCTCATTATTTACTTCCTTAGATTTACATGGCCCTTAAACCCCAGAATTCAACCCCCTGACATTCTCCATCTCTAATTCCACCACACCCTCATCCCCCATTCCAGGTATTCTTCCATAGCTGCCTACATTTGCTTCTCCTCCTTCCACTCTTACAACTGCACTGTGCACCTGCTACCCTCCTTGCTCACATACATGTGCACTGGTGCAATAACCTCTCTTGCATCTTCTGCCATATTTCACACACCAGCAACACTATTCTACCCTGATATGCACATCCTCAAATAACATTGACACAATCCATGCTTGCCTGCACGACATGATTACAAATAGTTAGAATCAACAGGTACCCGAAGTCGGAGCGGACACCATTCTTTCATGTGCTGTTTCCATTGGAAGGACAGATGATGGACTTCGTGAGCAAGAAGTACATCTGATGAGAAAAAAAAGAATGAATCCTGTGAGGTTTTCCACCATCTTCCTCTGTTTCTCTTTTGGCCAAAATCTCATTCGCACAAGTTATGCATGAGAAATTCCTTCTTCTTTCAGAAGACACTCATTGGTCTCTGCTTACCCATGCCACTAAATATTAGGTCTTATCTGTCACTTCCATGTCAGTTCCAAAAAAAGTCCTTGGAATATGGCTTTATTTGAGTTGCAGTGGCAATCTCCCATTCAGGGATTGGTAATATGGTACTGAATGATTGGTTAGAGGGGCTAGATTAGATACATCTAGTACGAATGTGCAGAATGAAGAGCAGGGGAATAATAAGGCCTGGGAATCAGCTTGTCATTCAGAGTGCTGGCATTCAAGCCTACTTGCAAAGGATACCAGTGAAGATGCCAAATGGCCATCTATGTAATCAGTATTTGGCTGAAATTTCCATGAAATAGTGGATTGGCACAAAGAGGAACTTCTGACCACCCAAGTAATCCAGCTGTTAACACACTGAAGTTACATGAAACGGATTCTCATAGGTTCGGCAAGGCAATTGTTCTCAGTTCACTGGCCTGACGGTCAGCAGTTTTGCACACAAACTTCAGCAAAGCGATCGCCAAGGCTCTGCATGATAGACTGGCTAGTAAGGTTAAATCGCATGGGATCCAGGGGGGAGCTAGCCAATTGGATGCAAAATTAGCTTGAAGGTGGTTGACAGAGGGTGATGGTAAAAGGTTGATTTTCGGACTGGAGGCCTGTGACCAGCGGTATACCACAAGGATTAGCTTTGCCATTGCTTTTCATCATTTATATAAATCACTTGGATGTGAAGGGAGACATGGTTAGTAAGTTTGCACAGGACACCAAAATAGCTGGTGCAGCGGACAGTGAAGAAGATTATCTCAGTAGAACAGATGGGCCAATGGGCTGAAGAGTGGCAGATGGAGTTTAATTTAGATAAATGTGAGGTGTTGCATTTTAGTAAGGCAAACCAGGGAGGACGTACCTAGTTAATGGCAGAGCCCTGGGGAGTGTTACCGAACAAAAAGACCTAGGGGTTCAGGTGCAAGGTGGAGCCACACGAAGACAGAGTGGTGAAGAAGGCATTTGGTACACTTGCCTTCATTGGTCATAATATTGAGTAATGAAGTTGTGACGTCATGTTGCCGCTGTACAGGACATGGGTGAGGCCTCTTCTAGAATACTGCATATAATTCTGATCACCCTACTATAGGAAGGATGTTGTTAAACTTGAGAGGGTGCAGAAAAGAATTTACAACGATGCTGCTGGGGCTGGAGGGTTTGATTTATAGGGAGAGGTTGAATAGGCTGGGCTTTTTTCCCTGGAACATTGGAGGTTGAGGTGTGACCTTATGGAGGTTTATAAAATCATGAGGGACATGGATAGGGTGAATAGCCAAGGTCTTTTCTTAGGGTGGGTGAGTCCAAAGTTAGCGGGCATAGGTTTAACGTGAGAGGGGTAAGATTTAAAAAGGACCTGAGGGTAACTTTTTCACACAGAGGGTGGTGCCAGAGGAAGTGGTGGAGACTGGTACAATTACAGCATTTAAAAGGCATCTCAATGAATAGGAAGGGTTTAAAGGGATATGGGCCAAATGCTGGCAAATGGGACTAGTTCAGATTGGAATGTCTGGTTGGCACAGAGAAGTTGGACCAAAGGGTCTGTTTCCATGTTATATGGCTCTATGACTCCAATGAGTAAGAGCATGGCAGTCTTTAAGATAAGGATCCTTCCAAATAGCATTTATGAGGCTAGCTTCCTGACTATTCTTGACATGATTTGCTAGGCACGTTTTGGACATTTCCCAGGCATGCATGGACACCAATTTCTCATAAGGACCTGAATTGGCCTTTATTAACAACTGGAGAACCAGGTGAATGTCTGGACAGTGCACTGCAGCCTTCAACTGTCTGGTACTCACTTTGGACTAGGAATTATTTGAGGTATCTACTAATTTCCACCTCACCTTGTCCTAATCCTGCAAAACTGTTTTCATTCGCATAAATTTATGTGAACTATGAAGGTAAATGGAACTATTGTGGCTGGATTGTGGACAACATGTTTTTATTGCCTCATTTGCATTCCATGGCATCCTCAGCAGAAACGTTTTAAGTGCACAGTAGATATTATAATGCAATTGCAGGTATTGCTATACGTGAAAAACACAGGCTGCGCTGTATAAGAGGTGGAGATGGAAAGTACCATATGGTTATCACAGCACAAGATCCCATTGCCTGTTAAAATGAAGTTTGGTTTACAGATTCAATAATAAGGAGTAGACCTTATGTTCTTTACTGGAATATATTCGGCCATTTTAAAAGTGTGAGCATGAGAAGAAGGCAGAAATGTATTTTGATGATATTTTACATCAACAAGAGTGAAGCTTAAAAAGAATAAATTAAATTGTTGTTTCCAGATCTTCTCTACAAATTTATCATGTTACGCATCATATATGGACCTTTTCTTTTTATTGATTCTTGGGATATGGGCATGGCTGGAAAGGCTGGCATTTGTTGCTCTGTCCTAGGTGCCCTGTTAAAAGGAGTGATTTGCAAGGCCATTTCAGACTGTAGTTAAGGATCTATGACTTTGGCATGGAAAAGATGGTTACGTAAGACTTGGAAAGTTCAGGACAGTGAAGAACTGTGA